AAAGGATGAGTAGAAAAAGCAGATAGCTTGTCAGAGCAACAATTGTTTCCTCCACAAATCTAGAAATTTTACATCATATGTCCACTTGCTCTAATGGTTGTGAACACTCATTCATTGATATAAAGAATTCTGGGCAACATAATTGATAATGTGTCCTGGGTAATAGGCTCTATACTTGTGAATATTAACTGAGATTATTAAACAGTGTCCTAGTTTTAGCAACTTTTGAATGGAAAAATTAAATCATTGTCATACAAAAATGGATATTTAGGCAAATTTGATTGTGTGAAAAACCTGTATTTTGAACTCTCCTGCTATGTGAACACTATTATCAGTCTTCAACCACAGTGATGATTGTGCATGGACAAATTTGTGTGTACTTAAAATGTTTTTGTCTCTGGGATTTATGAGTTCTCTGGAAGCTTTCTTAAAACTGATAGCTTGCTCTTTGCAAGCTAACTGAGAACGCAGCACCGTCCTGATTTTTGAGCATAGGAAGCTTCTCGCTGTTTACCTGTGACATGAATAATAAAGAACTAAGAATCATTCCATATCTGCCAGATTGTCCATTCCATTATGAATTAATTTTTAACACCCCTAAACATGAAAAAAATCATATTTCTCACAGAAATTTATTTAAACTGAACATGTTTAAATAAATGCAGTTTATCACAAACATCTATATTACCTGGGATTTTGTTTTGATTTTGAAATGAGAGCTTTTTCAAATATGTTTATTAAAAGCTAAGCTCTATTAATAAAAACTGCATCAGTTGACAAATGTTAAACGGTAAGGAGTGATTGTCAAAGAAATAAGAAATGCTGTAAAAAGTGAATAAAGCTAATTAAAGTGTTAAGACAAGTTAGTGAACCCATAGAGATGTTCCGACTGGGCATTGGTATATGATGATGAAGAATATAAAATAATTTTTGTACATATGTGTAATCTCTGACAAATAGGGAAAGTCCTAACAAAGCTAGTTATTTCCATGGTTCTTTTTCACCTGTGCCATGAAGTTTTGAAACCTATTGAAAATATGACCTGATTTATTTATAACTCAGGCTGTATTTGTTGCCACTGACTTTTTTCTAACCTACATATCCCTGGCCAACTGTTGTAATTTGTGAGGCATTTTGCATGTTCTCAAAGAATTTTGTGAACAGAGGTGATTCCTTTTACCCACTTATAAAAATAATGGTTAATGTTTCCTTTTAAAATTTATTTTTTCTAGTTAGGAAACATAACAGAGACACTGCCTTTCCTTCACATTATGCAATTTGAAGGTGACTGGAGGTTGTCAAAGCCCTAGTATCATGTTATCATTATTGCTTCTTGGGAGGCTTGTTAACCTGTCACAAAAGATGTGAGAAAAACCCAACATTCCTTTTGGGAGACGATGAGCCTTTATCACCCACAATGCAATTAGTGCTAAAAATAGGAAGAATGGCTATGATATGATTATGATTTGGCCAAGATGAGCTGTTGTTCAAGTAACAGGAACTAATTCAACAGGCCAAAGATGACCTAGACCGAGCCATCAGTCTTGCTGATTGCCATTTCTTTCTGAGTTTGATGAAATATTCATGCCTTTGCTCGCCTCTCTGCAAGCACTATTGATTTCTTGTATAAACGCTGCTATATTTAGTCTAGACAAATGGAATGTGGATTGCTGCTGAATAAATTGGATGAAAGACTGGGATCTTGCCTGCCGCTTTCTTTCAGTCTTGGGCAATTATTTATAATCAAGAGCAGTTTTTGTAAGTTGAGGGTGATTTTTCACAATTTAGTGATTAGTCTCTGAACAAAGGCAAGCAGTTAGACACAATCATTTCTGTTGGGATAGCAGGGTAAGAAGTCAAATTACCCTTTGAGGTTTACAGTAACTGTTTCAGAGAGCTGTGGGATTTTTCTTATTTTTTAAAATTTTTATGGGTTTGATGTTTATAGTTTATTGATAACAGAACTGCCAAAAAGAAGAGGCCCTGGGGCATTTTGAAATTTTACATTTGTCTTTTTAGGGTTAAATTCTGACTTTTGTTTATTGGGATTTCCATGTAAAACGTGAAGGCTATAGTTTGGCCCTTTTAGTGTAAAAATGAAATATATCATTAACAACCATGGCTTTTTGTTGGAATTGTGTCAACTCTTTAAGTTAATGCGCAGTCTCTTGTTACTCCAGTGTTCGAGAGTCTGGATGGGAAGTCTAGCGTTGGGCATTGCAATAAGAGATCTTAAAGGGCATCGTTCTCATTTGCTTTCAAAATCATCACAATTAACTTCTTTCATTTCACAAATACCATGTTTCTAAGAAACACTATCAAACTATAATTTGTTAATGAATTAGTTTTCCATTTTCATTAAAGTGTCACGTGAATTACCATCAGTGAAAATTTCTCATCAGTATATTAAAAAATAACCTGTGTTTTTAATACATTTATCTGGATATGGACATACATGCAAATGACATGTGAAGACATTTAATGCTGTAATATTTGAAACCTTAACATCTATAGACAAGTTATACTCTTGTAACTCTCAGAAAATACTTTTTTAATCCACATGAATATTAACTTTGTAGGGCCTGGAATCTCCGAAACTAAGATGCTTACAATAGTCAGTGTTAGTTGACGTTTTGAGGAATACAGAAAAGTAGAAGGGGGAATCATTTATATTTCTGTCCAGAATGTATTCTTCTGTATATCAACAGTCTTTGCTATTAAAATTCACAAAATAATATGATTAAAAAGCTAAGTGTAATATGTGCTTAGTGAGGGCTAAGATTTTTACTAAACCCTAACACCGAGAATGAAGCCAGAGATTTTAAGGGACTCAGCAAAGGTGTATCGACAAAATTAATTATACTTAGGTATTTTAAATTGTTATTGTAGCATAAACGTCACATTTATTACTTTTTCATTTAATGTTAAAATAGCATTTTTAATGCTTTCTAAATATTATTTTTAGAGATTGCATATTTTTTTACCAAATGGATGTGACATATTTTAGTTAGACATTTCCTTAAAAATTGGTGGTTTTCAATTATAGTACAAATAGTAGTCCAATAAACGACATGACACTGAACTGTTTTTCTCCGTTAATATAGTCTCTGTAAGATGTATTTCTAGAGTTGTAAAATGTGAATCAGATGGTAGAAATATTTAACACATCTTGATATGTGTGACACAGTTGATTTTGTGGAAGTTTTATAAAAATTGGCAGTACCACTTGCAATAAATAATTTGGTCATGTACTTTATATAATGAGCCATTTGCACATAAATATATTTATACACAGGAATTATATATGCAATACTTAAAATCAGATATTGTCTCTCACTTTATGATTTCAGTCTTTCTATTAGTGAGGGTGATTTTCAGTTGCTGATTTGTATGCTCTGTTATTTTTCCAAATGTTTTGCTGCTTTTTATTTTCTAATATCCAGTAGAAATCATATTACATTTTACTTTCATATTTACTCCATATATTTTTGCTAGCCACTCGTCATCATTGATGATTTATTTAAATATATAGAATACTTCCATTTTTTATATAACAAAAACAAAGCTTTAATTGAGGGATGTGCTTTGGTCTCTTAGTACATTGAATGAGTGATTTCACTTGAATGACCCCACTTAAGCCTTTTAGTACTTTCCTTACTGTCAGTGTAATTATTTCCATTTCGCAGAGAAGGAACTGAGGCCTAGTGGAGTTAATAACATCCTCAGTGTTGTTCAGATAGAAAAACAAGAGCAGACATTTAGGTACGAGGGTAACATTTAAAAACTTGCAGCCTGCTTGTCAAAGTTGACTTATAGATCACAGAACCATTTTGTTTGGTTCCTGGGATGTTTAGATCTTTCAGATAAGTTTTCAGTTAGTAATTTGCTTATTTCCGTCTTTGCTGGGTCTGAATTTTTTACCACATCAGTAATTGTTTAGATCTGAATAACGGCTTACTTCTTTGGAAGAGCCATACAATCCAGTTTCCTGTGCAGAATGCCTTTAACTGAATGTGTTTCATTTAATGGCAAAAACTTTCCTGATTACTGTACGTAGAGGTCATATTCAAAATATTTAAAAACCACTTTGACACGGATACTGGTCAATTAGAATGGACCAGCCCTAAATAAGTAGTATATCCAGATATCTACCCTGTTGATGAGTTCTCCTACTTGAACCATTCTTTTAGGAAGTGGCATGCTTATCTGCTTGAAGTTGTACTAAGCATTTTATAGACATTTTATAAATGTAACTGTAATCTTTCATAGTTATTCTTATCAAGTCTTGCATCCCTCAATGGCTAGCTTAAATCTTTAAGTTTCTTCCTACTTCTTCTGCTTTGTTTATTTTAGGAATGAGGTTACTGAGATACCGTTGATTACTGTTTAAAAACCTGCACTTAGAAAGTTGGCTACTTTCCCTCCTCCGTGTTTAGATTTGGCATCTTTGTTTTGGTTAGTCACCATCTCCCCCATTTTGGTTTACAGATTTGTATTCTTTCTTGGCTAGGTCCCATACTCCTGCAAATACTTCACATTCTATGTTCTACTTTTTTTTTAAAGGTACAATATTACTTCTGACTCTGATTATTTAAAAATATTAATACTTTCACAGATTTAGTTGAAATTGTTCTGTTTCATATAGCATCTTTCCCTTCACAGTATCCTGTTTCTTGGTCACAAGTTGACTTCCAGTAGAATGTAGACTGAATCTGATGAATGATTTGATACCAATGAATAATTGAACTCATCTCTTTGAAAAGGGGGTATATAAAGATTTCTGGTCAGAGTATGAATTGCTGAGTGAAAATCAGAATATGGCCCATTTATTGAAACAAAGATGACTTTTAATTGCTATTGAAAAGAATTGCATGTTAGAATCACTGACAAAGATTTGTTGCACAGGTACAATATCTTTTATTTTTTGTTTGCTTTTAGATCTGTGTGTTAATTTCCAATTTTCTATCCCCCGTGCTCTTTCTTTGTTCGTGGATTTCCAGTGGATGTGAAGTCAGAGGTTCCTGTGGGCCTGGAGCCCATCTCACCCCTAGACTTAAGGACAGACCTCAGGATGATGATGCCAGTAGTGGACCCTGTCGTCCGTGAGAAGCAGCTGCAGCAAGAGTTACTTCTTATCCAGCAGCAGCAACAAATCCAGAAGCAGCTCCTGATAGCAGAGTTTCAGAAACAGCACGAGAACTTGACACGGCAGCACCAGGCTCAGCTTCAGGAGCACATCAAGGTAGCAAATATTTCTTTGTCTGTGACCTTTTTAGTGTGGGCACCTGAGCCATGGCATGGGTGTGAGACGTACCCAGGGGAGTGTTAACAGGGAAGTTTCACTGTGGTGAAGACATAGATGGATGGTTTGAGGGGAACTGTGATTTTACTGATGGGAACTTTGAGTAAGTACTTGCTAAACACCTACTTTGCTTCTCAAAGAAGCCTCTGCCACTTTGATTCCTTAGCTGCAGAATCACTAGATGGGAATAATGCTGTGGCTTCTCCCTCACTTAGATTCCCTTCTGTGTGTTCATTTGCCATATCTTCTCACCATCAAGGTCCTTGAGCCTGGCAAGGCACATGTTAACGTTCTAAGGGATCCGCATATCATATTTACCAGAAAGGATAAGTTAGCCATCTCATAGGAACAGAGAAATTCTTCTTCTGTTTTTTATTTATTTTTTGGGTTTTAATCTTTGGTCACCAACTATATGCTATGAATACATCCTAATCTTCCTTAAAGAATACGAAAATATGTTGATGTATATTTTCAAAAAAATAGCATGAAAAGCTGAAGAGAGTTTCATCAGGAGAAACTGATACAAATATTGGTACAGACTGTACCTAAAAATTTTTGAGTAGTCGAAAGTTGGAGTTGTTTAAATTATTTCAGGAAAAGATGTATATATATATATATATATATATATATATATATACATATATACACACACATATATATACATAATATATATGTATATTATATCTATATCTCAGCATTTTTAAAATGATGTCCCATTTATTAATACCCTGTTATAGATATGTCTGTATATTTCTTCTTTTGTATCCTCAAAGAAAAATATTAGTTTGATGTATAAATTTTTCAACTATTTGAGATATTTAAAATCAGAGATCTTCAAATTTGCCTAAACAGATATTTAGTTTGATTATGACAGTAAAAGATAGCATATTTACACTAAAAACTTGTATATCTAACTCCATTAACTATAATTTAAATATGTGATAACTTACTATATAAATTACATGTTACATTGTATTTTATTAGATTGTTTTCTAGGTAATTTATTACTTGGGTACCAAGTACAAGCACATTGATGTGGGGTTAATAAAAATAACTAACCTTTGCTAATATCATATAATTTTGCCACATTAATATTGCAGTATCCAAGAAGATAAAATTCTGTATACTTTTTATATATTCTGTGTGTTGCAAGATGTTTCCTTAGAGAGAAGGCCTATACTGTATTAATTTCCCAAAATTGATGTGACTGAACTTCACTAAAGGAACTCTTTACGTACTTGTGCTATTGATCTATAAATACCTTAAGAAGAGTGAGAATTTTCTTTTGAGTCTTTTATGAAGTCAGTAGCTCACAGATATATTTTGAAGTAGACTTCGTTTATAGACATCTTTTTATGCCTGCTGAAGCACTTAGTTTAACCTTTGAAACATTAATAGAAATATTCGTGTCTAGAGTTTTTCTTCAGTCTTCCCAAGCTTGTTATAATGGCAATGATGCATAAATAAAATCTGTGTACTTTACCATAAAGAATTATGTAGTTATTTTGCTACTATGTGCGAGTTTTTATTTTCTTGAATACAGAGCAATACTGCTAAATTAATAGCATTATTAATTTATCTTTGGTGTCTTTATAGCTATAAAATTAATAATGCAATCTTTAAAGAAATTAATTTATTTGATTTCACTCAAAAGCTAATTGTAGCAAGTAGATAACTCTTTCTATGAAATGAACAAAATGATATAGTGAATTTGTTGACATTTGGAAAATTTTAGAAAAGAGGCTCTGAAGAGAATAAGGGGTATTAAATAATAAAAAAGGAAATTGTAGCTTTTAAACTGATTTTACCAAAGTAATAAGTTGTTTTCTCAGAAGTCAAAGTCGTATTTTAAATTTTCCTTTAAGATTCAAAAGCAGTTTGCCCTTTCAACTGTTTAATTTTGTTACTTTTTTATGAGTAAAGCTAAAAGTTGATGCCTTTAATATTTGATTAGATTTTCTATGAAGAAGACAATGCATGATGACTTAACTGTATTAGTTTTTGGACCTCTGGCTTCTTTAGCAATCAACATCTGTTGAATTAGATGTTGTGCCATTTTTCCACGTAGTAAACCAAGGAAGAGAGAAATAATATAACTTTCCAAAGTTGCACAGCCAGGAAGTAGTTGTTCCAGAAATTGTAGTCTTGCCTTGTCTTTCTCCAAAGTTCCTAAGTCACTCTGCCTCACTTATGACCCAGAACAACTGCAAATAAAGGGGTAAAGTTTTCTTTCTTTCTCCTTTTCCCCCCTATACTTCATCCCTGAAATATTTTTAAGAATAGTGACTATGGTAATTAAATCATGTGCTCTTCTAAATTTCTAAGAGAGAGATAAATTGGATTGCATCAAGTCTTTGAGTAAAGCACTGAATCTGTATAGAATTCATACTGAAGCAGGATTTAAACAGTTATGAATTCTTAAGCAACAGTAAACATCTAAAAACATCCATTAAGGGACTGATATATCAGCCAAAATGCCAAAGATTTTGAAATGAAGAGTACTCAGAAGTGCTTCTGACCATGTCCTTTGGGAGTGGTAAGGCTGTCGTGGTTGACCACAGAGGTGCCTTCCTCTTGGCCCAGAGTGACCCTGATGCCATTCCTTTTAGCTTTTTATTTTTATTTCTGTTACTTTTTAGTATAAAATCCAGAATTTTAGGTACCTATCTAAAATAAAGTAGCAAAATATGCTTTCAAAATGAGTATGATTCACATGCGCAAAAACTAAATTTTACATGCATTGGGAATATGTTATGTGAGGGAAATTATTCTTTTTCATACCTATGAGGAACCAACACTCCAAGTAGTTTAGTGACCTGTCGAGATCCCCTGTCTAGTAATGTCAGAGGCTAAGTAGAACTCAAAGTTATTCCTCACTGGGCACATTTGCAATACTCTGTAGATATGTGTTTCACAGTTTGGAAGGAAGCTGACAGCTCAAGATAGCTACTAAAAATGTTTCATATTCATGTTATTCATCTTTTAGAAGAGGATTAAAGGAATTCAGAAACCTAAACAATTGTGCATTAGCGTGTAGTTTTATGCAAGTGATTTCATTTTGACCATTGTCTCTAATCTTGAGGTTTTCATGTATTAGATGAAAGATTGAAGACACCTACTATTTGAAAGAAGAACCTAAAGTGTAGCTTGAAAGTCTATTGAAAATTTCCTCTATAAAATTTTGACATTTTTAGCCTTTATTCTATTTCAAGTAGACTTACCCCAAATTAAGTCATATCTCACCATTCTATTCACCTTGATAATTTTGACACCATTTCTCAGGCTAAGAATGGAGAATCTCAGTTTTTTATTTATAATGTGAGAGACTTTGTAAAATAGACTTCTGGGCTGTGCCTGCCTTACCCTGTTCATATTTTGTATGTATTTAGGAAAGTTGTTAAGAGAACTAGAAGTTTAATCGATAGAAACTATAAGCTCGGATTAGATTTATTAATTATTTTTGCTAGTAAGTCACAAGAAACATTGTTTCCTAGAAATGAGCTTGATGATGCTGAGACCATCTTGACACGAGTGGCTTATGTTCAGATTTCAATATTTTTTTAAAAAAGAGAGAGTAATAATTATAAATTAACACAAACAAGTTCCAAAAGCTCCTAACAGTTCAATTTTGGTCAGTCAGTGATAACTACGAAGCTTAAAGAAATTGCACACTCTCATGTCTTTCTCTTCTCGCAAGTTGCAACAGGAACTTCTAGCCATAAAACAGCAACAAGAACTCCTAGAAAAGGAGCAGAAGCTGGAGCAGCAGAGGCAAGAACAGGAAGTGGAGAGGCATCGTAGAGAACAGCAGCTCCCTCCTCTCAGAGGCAAAGACAGAGGACGAGAACGTAAGAGGCACCGGGTGAAAGATGGGCTCTCTGGGCATCATTCAGAAGGGAGCCTGAGAATGAGTGGAATTAAAGTTGTCAAAAACTGTGTTTCTTTAAAAAAAAAAGACTCCAGTGTAATAATCTTGCATTTGCATATCAGTTCTCTTTATTCAATCTGGAAGCATCTAAAGAAGTAAACACAGTGTTGACACAGGTTTGAATTTCTGCTCATTTGGATTTAAAAAACAATGTCACATAAAGGCAATATATTGTGAGCAATCTTGTTTAATAATAAAACTATCCCCAAATCTCCTCCCTCTGCTTTCCTTACTCTTGCCCAGTAAAATACTCTGTCAATCATGCCTTACCTCCGTTTAGTTCCTGCCAACTCAGACTTTGGGAAGATTTAAAACAGAACACTTGTAAAAGAACCATCCACAAGAGGGAGACAGATCCAAATAATTCCGCTGTATTAGGCCAGTTCAAACGCAGGTCGCAGCGAGGTTTAAAACTTGATGACTTGAACTGAAATTGTCAGCAATATTTATTTGTGTAACGCTTAAAGGGGTGTTTTAAAGTGTTACTTGTTTTTTAATATAGAAACTCAGAAAGACTATTTTAATATGTTTAAGAGATGTAATTTAGAACCCCAGGATTCCTGATTTTTAAAAATGTACAGTATTTTTTTTCCCCTGCAGTATTTTTTAAACTAATAATCTTGGAATCCCCTTTCTGAAAAGCAATTAGACAACTCACTGAAGGTCTTTTGAAAATTGGCAGTTTAAGTAATAGTTGCGAAGCATCACAATGCCATTTTCTAAAGCCTATTTAGACTCTACTTTCTTTTCTTAATAGGAAAACTTCTGTGCTGTGACCAGTGATGTAAGATGTAACAAGTTACTTACTTGTTAAATATTCTAGAGGTGGGAAAGCATACAACTCACAATCTCTCTCTCTCTCTCTCTCTTTCTCTCTCTCTCTCTCTCTCTCTCTCTCTCTCTCTCTCTCTCACTGTGTGTGTGTGTGTGTGTGTGTGTCACAGGAGCGGTGGCAAGTACTGAAGTAAAGCAGAAGCTTCAAGAATTCCTATTGAGTAAATCAGCAACAAAAGACACTCCAACTAATGGAAAAAATCATTCCGTGAGCCGCCATCCCAAGCTCTGGTACACGTATGTTCAGTGTTTGGCTGTTTTTATTCTCAAGGTTAAAGAGCATATGTTCTATATTTAGCCATTTTGAGTGTAGATCCCAAGACTGCTATTGCTCGGCTCTGTGGCCTGGGGCAAGTTCCTAGAGTTCTCTGAGCATTTGTTTCCTTCTCCATGAAAAGAGGACAGTAACGGTACCTGGTTTGGAGGGTTGTTGGGAGGCTCTATAAAATAATGTCACAAAATTGAAAAGGGCTCAGTGATTCGTGGGCTCTACCACTGAGCTGCATCCCCAGCCCAGAGTGTGTTATCTTGAGGACAAGGAATGGGTAACTGACAGATGGCTTAGAGCACAGACATTAATTTGTATTTTGCATTTTTCTATTCCCAAATGGTACATGTGATATCTATACATAATGTTTGGAAGATTGTGATTTGATTATATTTTATTTGGCCTGATGTGAAATGGAAGTCAAAATTATTTTTAGGAGTTCAAATGATTTTGATTGAACTAAATAATTAAAAGAAGGAGGAAAGGAATTTAGGATAAAGAAAGGAGGGAAGAGAAGGGGGTAGCAAAATACACAAATCTAAGTCTTCAGGGACTAGTTTACCCCTGCACACTACACTTTTGTTCTTTCTACCCAGTAAAATAATAGTTTGGCTTCTAACACACAGGCTGACAACATGATACACTGTGATATTACTGTGTTTATGGGATCCTGTCTTACCCACTCCAGTAAAGAGATATTATGTGGTACATAATTCCTATTTCTATAAAATATGAATGATCTGGTATTTTTAAAAGCCGTCGCAAAAAATTGATAGGCAAATCATATTTGGATAATAGGTTAATAGATAATGATTCTGTTTCTCTCATAAATGTGATCTCTGAATGACTAGAGGATTTTCCATGAATGTATTTTTTAATTCTCACATCATCCAGGAAAGAAATAACTACTTCATTATTACATGGAAACTAGAAACATCCAGGTTTTGTAAAACAGTTACTGTACATAAGTCTATTTTATAGATACCTGACATTTTCTGTCTTAACAAAAAAGGTAGCAGACAGACTCTAGAATGTTTTGTATAGTTTTACAATTCATCCTGTATAATTCAGTTGTATATGTTTTTTACCTGGAGAAACCAGGTAAACCTCTGAAGATTTTCAGATGTTTAATCAACCTTACAAAATACTTTAAAATAATTTTTGTACTTAAAATTGCATTCAAAATTAATTAATTCATAATTCCTTCCACATTAAAGCTGTGTTTATGACCATCATTTTAAATATATATATTTTAATGAAAAACTACTAAGTGCAAATAATTTATCAGTTAAAAATTCTGCAGCTGTTTTCTTGAGTGTAATGGTGATGAATTACACATGTTATTTATCAATCCTTTCTTGTTTTTATGGAATTGAACTTCAGGTAATCAGAAATCATCAATTTTGGATCTGAATTTTATTCTGTTTTTGTTAGCTATAAGCAGTTGAGATTCTCATTTATTCTTGACAATTACTAGAGCAAACAATAATAGAATAGTTATTGTCCTAGTAATATTATGCATTGTACATTGCCTTCACTATTTTTAATATTTGTACGTGTTTGTATTATTGGGTAATCTGTGTTTGCTTCAGTAGCAGAGTTGTGTCTTTTTCAGTAAAGTCACTTAGAAAAGAGAAAAAAATTAAAATTGATTTCATATTGAAGAAGAGTGTGATCTCTAGTCCACATCTTTGGAACTGCTACAGAAATCATGACACCTGAGACCTTTGGTGTCTTTCCAGTAAACAAGCTACCCACATGTACATGAGAAATTTTTAAAAACGAAGCCTGAATTTATCTTTCCTTTCATCTTGGTTGTTCTACATTGTTGTCTATAAAGGATACAAGTGATGACTTTTCACTAATGTGGCTCTTGTGTAAACATCCCCAATATTCTCCAACCATCAGAAGGTCAGGATCTTGGTAAATTTTCACTTTTAGTGGCCTTTTCTATGGGACTACAAGACCAAAAATATGACAGTCATTCTTAGAAATCCTGTATCATTCTCCAGCATACCATTGCATGAACTCAGTTACATAAGGCTGTGGTTTGTGTGCACTACAGAGAAAGAACATAAACACAGCAGAGGCACGTGTACAGCATATGCAACTGATTATTACTGACCAACATGCTATAAAAACTCCAGCATCAATGAAAATTCTTTGTCTTTTGTAGGGCTGCCCACCACACATCATTGGATCAAAGCTCTCCACCCCTTAGTGGAACATCTCCATCCTACAAATATACATTACCAGGAACCCAAGATGCCAAGGATGATTTCCCTCTTCGAAAAACTGGTAAGCTGTTTTAACAGGAACCCCAGTTGCTCTTCCATAATATACCTACCCATAGTTCTATTCTTCCTACTCCAGGGGAAAGCCAAAGGACTTAAATTATAGATGTTAGACCCGCCTTCCCTCATCCCAGCATAAGTAATACACGTAACACAACACGTACACACATGCACACACAGCATACTTCTTGCTTATCTCTTAATCATTTGGTTCATTGCATAATCAAACTGCCCTTTTAATAATTTACTATATTTGATTTTTAGACAAATTATTTTCCTATTAGCAATAATGGGTAGAATAAAGGAAAATATAAACTTGATTCTCAGAAAACGTAACTATTTTCCATTAGTAAGGACCTCTAGTTTTCTCCATTAGCTGTTTTTGTTTGTTTGTTTCAACCACTAACTACAAAAGTGCTGGTAATGAACTTTTTCTTGCTTGAAAAACATTTTTTCAATCTTAGATTTAGTTGGTGTAGTGAAATGGGAAAGGCTAAGGCTTACTCCTGAGTAAGTGAGTTGCCTCTTGGATCACAGAACTCCACATCTTCATTACTGAGAATGAAGATACAAACCTAATGCTTCTGTAAATAAGGTGTGATTTAAACTACAGTGAATGTTTACTTAAAAATAAACAGTAAATATCACATCGTCATTAGTCCTCTTCACATTCTCCTCCTTACTTTGTGTCCTATTGTTTTTGCTACCGTCTGAAGCGGTTCTGGAAGTCTTCTTTCATGAATGTCTTCAATTGTGCTACTCCAAGTGCTTCAGTATCCTTCATGGATTCAAACCGTTTACTTTTGATGCTCATTTTGACTTTGGGAAGAGCCGGAAGTGACTTGGGGCTCAGTTTGTTGAATTAGGTGGATGAGAAGATCCTGGGATGTTTTTGTGAGCTGAGCTTTCCATTGGGTGGTACTCTGCAGTACCACCCAATTCACCACGTTTTATCATACTTCATAAAGACAGGCAAGAGAGACTTCTTCAACTGCTTTAGACGCTGATGAGAACAATGGGATATGTACATTTGAAGCAAGAGGATGTTTAGGGGGTTAATTAAAACTATTTTCTTTTACCATAATTGTTTAAATGTTAAACATTCACTGTATATTTTGATCATACTTCATAGTCATGTTACAATTTGTTGAGGAAATAAGCACAATAAAGCTTTGTTGGGAGTTTAGTAAACAGTCTGGTAACTTTAAAGTACGTATATTTTTTCTCAGTTTTTTGAGTACTCTGATATTTGTACATTTAATGTGTTATATGCTTTTAGCTTTAATAAACATTTATAAACATTAACTAGATATTTGTACTCACAAGTAGCATTTGGGTATGTAAAGTCCTACAGTGTTTGCCAAATACAGTTCTTTAGAGATAATTCTTAATTTAATTTTTTTATACCTACCATTGGTTTGGGAAGGTATTTATAGAAGACAGTGTAGTTTATTCAGTTTTACTTAGGTCCACTTGAAGAAGAATAGATATCTGTAATTTGTATGTAAAATCTAAAATTTGATAATTATTTCAAATTATCTTCATTCTCTAAGCAATTTTGAGTAATTAAAATGGATATAGATTATAAAAACACACATTTAAGCTAGGTTCTGGCATGCAATTTAACTGTCACATAATGAAGATTTAAAAATAAAATCAGTCATGAATTAGAATTTATAACCTACTGTCTACCTCACATTGTGCAAAGTACTGGGAAGAGATGATTGGATTCATAAAGCAGTCTGTGCCTTTTTGTTTTTATAGCCTAAAGAGTTTTGTATTTATAAAATGATATGTGTAGTTAAATACTTCAGTAGAAACTTATACAAAGGCAAAAATGATTGAGCTTTATGCATGGCATCAGAATTTCACACTATTATATACAAATCATAGTGCTTTGCTTATAAATAAACTTCTCTTGGATAAAAGGAAGAAAGCCAAGAGTGAGCCTCAATCTATTTCTAAAACATGAGTATAGTTTATGAAAATTGATCCATAAAGGAGATGAGATGTAGAATGTGGGGGCTTTGATATAAGCCTTGACATTTAGTTATACCAATGGCATGTATAAGAGCTATTGAGAGAGATTATGTGAATATTGCCCCGGGTCTCAGGGCAGTACTGCCATTCCAGGGCCCAAGGAGTCCCTCCAAGGAAAGAAAATACAGAATCCTCTATGGCAGAAGGTTACTGATGAGTGATACAGTTACTTCTACAGAGGAAGGCTTCTATCCTGCTGAGCACACAGCCTTGAATATATTCTTAGCACTGGGAGATTGAAATTTCAGTACAGAGCTGCTACTCTGTTTAAAAAGTGACATTTGGGACCAGTAAGCATCCAGAAAGAAAATCTGATCTTTTTTAAAATGTAGGGATAAATACTAAAAACTTATACTTTGTATCCTACTGTTTCCATGAGAACAGCGTAGGTTTTTCCACTGTGAAGAATGAATAACAAGCTGTTAATTTATTCTCACTGAAACTCTCAATCCACAACAAAACTCAAAGAGAAATCCTGCCCAGGATATATGTTATATACCTTTATTCAACTCTATGCAAATACAAAAGACATTTGCTGTGCTGGTTTATGCAATGTAATACTGAAAATTCCTGATTTTTTCCAGTGATAGATTTTCTGTATTTGCCCAGTATTTCAAATTTCTTCCTTTTAAATTGAAAATCTGATGTTTATGAAGTGGCAGACTGTTGATCTGTAGAATGAAACATTTTTAAGCATTGTAGCAATAAAGTTCTTGAATAGCCGCTAATACTTTAATATCTCTTTAGGGGTTTCAAATTATTCCTAATTCAATTCCCATTGTCTAAGAAAGTATGATATAATTAAATCCAGATGTTTTTTACATGCTATATAAAATACTTAGAGATAACCTTCACTAATTACAAATAGGCAGAACTCTTCCAACCATTAGAAATATGAACCATTTGGTATATTGCCAATTCTGTTGTGAGATAATTGAGACATATATTTGCACTCACTAGAAGAGCATTGAAATATTTTCAAATAACATGTTTTGCTTCAGTATTGTATTTCAGTGACTTAAAAGTCATATAAAAAAAAAAAAGCAAACAGTGAAATCTTACCATAGTAAAGTGTGGGTGGTGATTAGAGAAACTGGATGATAGTATTTTTGTATAAAACCATGTAATGTTAAAATGAATCTAGAGTAGCATCATACATCATGTAGCCAAAATACCAGGCTAGCTATTGTAAAATCATGCTTTGCTAATGGTGCCAGATTATGAATTTCACTGCACTCAGTTTTAGACTTAAAAGGTATTGCTAAATGAGTGGGTTTTATCTTTTGTTAATACTGCTTTTAATTTTGCATCAACTTCAGTCTGAGTTATTTATGTGACCTAATTTAAGACATTGAAACTAGAACTAGGGTAAGAAATTCCGAATGACCTTAAGTTGATTAAGGTAGCCCTGGGGTGTCCCCTAAGCAGTAAGCAAAATTTGGAACCTCTCCTGACCTTTAGGCAGACTCCCCTAGGAGTGACAGCCTAGGAACAGTGAACTACAGAAGTCTTTTGCCTGCAGAAATCTGACCTTTGTCATGCAGAATGGACCTTTACTTCCTTCCCCCTAGGAGAGTCATCCCTCATCCAAAACTCTGGATATTTGAGAAATATCAAAATAATACTAATAGTTCACTCTAATCATGCCCATTTCTAGTTCATTTTAAATGTAGAGATTTTAGGTGTCTGTGGCTACTTTCAACAACAATCAAAGGCTTTAATTTACATAATTGTATTTGATGTTGAGAATAACACATTGTTCTTAATTTTTGTATTTTTTGCAGTAATTTTTCCTGCTAGAATTATGCTCTGTGATTTCTTTTGTTCTCTAACAGAAGGATGTGTTGATAAATTTGGAATAGTTTAATGAACTTGATGCTTTAGCCCCAAGTAATGTTATAGCTGCAGCAGGTAACTTTTTCTCCTCTTACAGTATACCGCTAGACTGGTAATAAATTTTAAAGTAGGGAAAGCAAGCTTCTGGGTCCACACAGTTTTGAAACAGTACATATTTCTCCCAGAGATACTACTACATATTCAGTGACTTTGAACTGACCTTCAAAACAATTTAATTTGGATTTTGTTCCAGTGAGTACACACAAGTTTCATAAAATATTATGGTAAAAAAAATCTAGAGGTTTTATATACCATTATGTTATTGAGGTCTTACCCAGTGAACTTTGCCTTTCTTTGAATCTTACAGTCTTTCCATTTAATACTTCTGAACAAAACTAGCTGGCCGGGTAGATTAACCTCTTAAAGTGCACAAGCCATATAAAGCTTGGCTTGGGCTAATATTACTGTTCCAGCCCTACTGAAATATTCGTTTTAATGGTCAGCAACACAAGAATAAGACTCAAAGATGGAAGGGGTCCAAGCATAAGTTAAGGTTTTGGAAGGCCAATGGCATTTTCCACTGAGTAAATTGGCAAAGAGGCAAAGATGAGATATATAGCTTTATAAATCTCCTTCAGTATAGCCATCAGCAGTTATGTTGTGGTACCTTGGTGACCCATTCAAGTTACTGTAATTCAAAATGAATACAAGATTTTTAAAAATGCCTTAAAATCTATTTTATTCTTTGTCCTATCTCCCTCTCTCCTGCCTCTCTCTCTCTCTCTCTCTCTCCCCTTGTTTCTCTTCCTCCTCCTAGCTGGTGCACATTCTTTTTTTCCCCCTGGTACACATTTTATATGCACATGAATGTACATAGTCTTACAAAGGTGTTCCATGGTAGCACTTATGCATATGAAACATCTCCTCAAAATCGTATCCCAGGTTACAAACACTGGAACTTTTTCATATATTTTGGAACTCTGAGCTTTGTTGTTGTGTTGAACCTTGCTTAATTTATACTAGTTCTCAGGTACTGAGAACAGTGTGGTACTGTGATGCAAGCTTTGAATCTACAGTTTGAAATCTGGTTCTGCAGATTTAGCTAATGTAACTTCTCTAGGCTGTGAT